GGCGGCGACGGCGGAAACGAGGAGAGAGACCAGCAAGTAAGACGTGGGGATACTGGTGTAGCCCAGGCCGAGCTTGACGTACTTGAGATTGACGGAATGGAGGAAGTCGGGCAAACGCCGGTGGATCTTGATGACAATGGAGGAGTCCCTGAAGGCCATTTCGGCCGTCAGGCGCTCGCGGTCCATAACCGCAGGCTCGGCGGCCGCCATATCCATCCCAACTGCAGCCACCAAAGGCAGTGAAATCGAAGTATACACTTAAACTTTACAAGGAAACGTACTCAAAGAAGAATTGCATTGTCATCGAAAGATATATAGAGATTGCCCTCAGCGGAAACAGCAGCGAGGACTTGAGCAGGATTAGTTGTAATGAATGCGTCTAGGTGGCGGTAATGGTCGAAGTAGGTGGGAAGGGTCAACAGGCGGACGGGCTGAAAGGAGGGAACATGGTCGTCGTCGCCAACGGGTATTAATGGGATGGCAGGCAACAGGAGGCAGGGAGGAGGAGGGAGGGAGATCGCTCAACCACCCGGTGGCCGGAAGGAAGCGGAGGGGAATTAATGTCTTATAATCTACACAGAGGAGTACAGATTGATACGGGGAACGATCAATAATAATAGCTCAGTCCTCGTTGCTTGCACAGACTAACATCCTCTCATCCAACAACGCGTCGATGAATCATACAATTAATACGCATGGGACGGATCCGAGGGGACTTGCCCGGCACACGTTGTAAACACCTTCTCCGGGGAAGGAATTGGATGTCAAAGTAAGGGTTGCCCGAACTGAAATCATGGTGTAGAAGACACAGTAGACATGCAGTTTGTTTCAGCATTCAAGTAAAGATTTTGTCGACAACAGGTGTCCCTCGTGTTCAACTTTGCCATCGACGATGTCTCGAACAATAGAACAAGTCATTCCCAGGATTGGATTACAGTCTTCCTTTTTACTTACTTATCGTGTTGAAATTTGATAGCCCAACTTCTATCGATGTTGAATTTAGAACCAACTTGCATCGGTGTTACTTTTCTGATGTTACTTTTGCCCATCAGCACACGTTCTCTGCTTCATCTAAAGTTACTTGGCTTATGTTATGAAAGTCTTAAATCTATTATTTCTCGGGTTACTTGTTGTTCTTGAAAGCTTTTGCATCAAAGACTTCCTGCATGTCACTACGTTGCTAGTTTTGGCATTGCTGAAGCTAAGCATTGCTTTCTTCGTGGTCAACAGACTAATGATCATCATCTCGTATTTTTACTTCATGCGTTTTCGATCTACTAAGAAATATATTTCTTTCCAATTTTAAAGTTTGTGACCTAATGGTAAATGACTTCTTGAAGGCCCGAATCTAGATAAGCCAGGTTCTAGGACACTTAGGGTTAAAATCGTGTATGTCTGGTTACTTTGGTAGATCATAAATGGCGTTGTCTTGACTGTGGAAAATATTTTTTATTTTATTTTTACAAGATTATTATATCAATAAGTTCTATGTAAGGAACATCTCGTCCACGTCAAAAATAGATAAGATTAAAATTGACTTATAAGAATTTGATGAGTATATTTTTATTAATTTCAATTTGAGTCAAACAAACATGGATCCTCCCGAGCATATTCTCAATATTGCTCGATGTATTTTTGAATTACCTATCTCCTACTTTAATGCCATGAGCACTCGTTGTATTAGGCCTCTTAATTAATAGAAATCTTTACTGGATCAGTACTTTAACAAGCCCATCGCTACATCCACGAGTTCAATTGATCTTTGTGATTCCAGTTCAAAAGCTTCAGACAGACCACCAACTCATTTGGGATGATCGCCTGAGGCACAACGGAAGAGACACACACAGTAATCTTTCACGGAAGTGCATGTGGTCTCCGTTAACATCCATCCGAAGACCGAGTTTGTGTTTATAGAGAGGATGTCATGGGGTGGCTTTGTTGCATATCAAGCAATGCTCAGACATCGAATGCCACTAAGACAAAGTGTGTGTTCATGAAGTAATCTGCTGGCATTCAAGATGGCACTGAAGCCGGAAATTTTATGGTCTCAATCGCATTGCAGTAGCAGAATCTTCGAATAAATCCATTGCACTATTTGTGCAATGTGTGATCTGCACCGGTGAGAACCAGAAAGACCATGCAAATTTCCTGCCTCCATCGAGCACTAGTTGAAGGTTAATGCTATCCAACACACTGCTGCTAGAAGAAGAACAAGACCGAAGGTTATCGAGGAAAGTTGAATGGTATCCTGCATTGGTCGGCAAAGATGTCTGCAAAGATGCAGCTGGGATTTGCTCTTCAATAGTACTCTGCAGCATGAGGCATCACCACTGAGAACCAAAGGCATGACGAGATCCTACATGCCAGAGCAGAGGTGTTTGGCTGAAGGATATCAGGGATTCCTTCAGAATCACTAAAACTGGTATTGGGGGATTTAGCTCTAATAGAATGATACTTGACTCATTTGATCATCCTGAATCTTTACCAATTAGGAAGAGAGTAGAGCTAAAAAGGAATGCCTAATTTAGGCAATCTTATTCTTGCAGGGAGAGAGAGAGAGAGAGAGAGAGAGAGAGGATTTATTGTACTCCAACATTGTAAGTTGACATGAGGATGAGAAAACTTCGAGTTAGCTAAGGCTACAAACAAAGAATTTGACCTCGTGGTGTTGAATTGGCAGTCATGGCATTATATTATATATACTACCCAAATGTATGACAGCAGCATATACAGAAGTATCTCATGCAGAAATGTTTATATATTCAAATCAGATTGTTGAATACAGCATAAATTTTTGTCAGCCAACAGTTTTCTTATCGAGAGAAAAATCTCGGTAGACTTCGTTCTCCACTTTTCTTTCTCAAAGAAATGGTTTTTCACCTGTCAATGTTGGACATTCTTCATCTAGATTTAATGGAATTCTGCAGATTAAGTTCATTAAATATATAGATTAACAACATGGGTTTGTTTCTTAAACGTTTTATAGACAGTATTGACAGGCATTAGCTTGCAGCTGAGCCATACTTATTTTTCTTTCTGGCTATGCTGAAATTTCATGCAGAATCTTCTCCAGGGTTGAAATTTCATCCACTTGGGGTAGGCAGGTGCCTAATTCTTTGGGTGTCACTCTCATTAGATCCAACAATTAGTAGTATATTGGAACAAGAATCAGAATCAGAATTCAAATCGAACCAGCCGCAGAGTAGGCAGTCACTAGCAGATCCGGCTTATTATATTAGAACAGTCAACTTACCACTGGGTGATAACTCATCTCTCTAGAAGGAGAATTAGCATTCCCAAAAGATCACCTGCCCAACCAAGATAGATTCCACTGGGGCCAATCTGCCACAAGAGCCAATGGCACCCGTGCCATGAAGCACGAGATTCCAACTCATGAACAAGCAATGTATTAGAAGAATCAGCTAAAGCTTTCACTTTTCCATCTCCTGCTCGTAGTTTACAGGAAAGCAGATTAGCTGATTCCTAAAAATGACTAGCATTGTAGTTCAAGCAAGCCACATCCTACATCCTAGGACTGATATCATGATCTTGCTAACACCCTAGGACATAATGAGGTGTGAGTGGAGCCAGAGAATTAAAGGGCTTAATTCAAGATGAGATGAACAGCTTGACAGGTAGCAGCAACAGCAGTGTTGATGACAAAGCTTTGACATGGTGAAGGATTAGACCTCCTATGGTTTCTCGTGGACCAAAGGGTCTAAACTTCTCTCTTTTGATGTCATACAAGCCTTTACTTCGTCCCCAAGAAGTGAACAATCCCTGTAAACAATAAACCCTGCAGCAATTAAAACAAAGCAAGGCTCAAGCGCGATAGAAAGACGACGGAAACGTAGCACGAGAAGCAACCTTGTAAGAACGATGCGTGAATGAATCGGAAGAATCGACCATGACTTCCCTTTTCCCATCGAGTTATGTGGCCCTCTTTTGCTTTGGGAGCCGTGCGGAGGAAGGGACAGAAAGAAGGAGTACCTAATACTTGAGCCGAAAGCAATCTTACATCATCCTTTCCACGTCACGAATCCTTAGACAGATTCTATGACCCTCTGTTTATGGATCAGCTGTGATTAGATTGTTTGGTACAAATTTTGCTGCGGAGAGTTTCTCTCTCTCTCTAAAGGAATGAATGAGAGACAGAGAGAATGGGAGATAAATGTCACAGAATCAGCATATTCATTGTCCCAATTATGAAAAAGTATTAAGTAGTTTATGAACTTTTTTCCACGGCGATAATAGTCCTGCGATTAATTTATATGTTCTTGAATTGGATTGGAGTTAAATAATATTGATTGAAGTTGCACAAACCATTGATGAGTCACATGAATGACATGTACTTCACCGAATAGGATTCGAAGATTCCTCCATCCTCGCTCCACTACCACCACCAATTATATATTTATATATGTCCCGCCCAAATTTATCCATGTGGTGACTGGTCACTTGTTTTTCTTCAGCACTCAAGAGAAGATATCCTATATCAATCGGCAGTTGCGCAACATCGAGCGGCGAAAGCACTATTGTAGCTGCTGTGTCATGTGATATTAAATGGTCTCGAGGTGTTACTACTTGCAAGACCATGTTGGTTTATTTCGTCTTTATACTCTGAAACTTCTCTAGTGTTTGAAACAATAGATAGCACAATCCTTTCGTTGTCGCAAGGACGACGCCTATTGGATGACAAGAGTCTGCGTTGGAGATGCAGCCATTGTTAAGTTTCCAATGAAGAATTGGTCAATCCGATGGACCGGTCGTCGAGGGAACATCATTAAGCCACGCAGCACGCCCAGGAAGGCTCGAACAGGCAACGCAGCTTGGATTGTCCCCGTTCTCCGAACAACCTCTTCCGAGGTCAACAATTAATTTCAAATTCTTAACCTTGGATCGCGATCGGCGACTTCGCCAAGAGCTTCGCTGCACTAATCCGCCTGCCTTTAGCAAGCGCGGCATCCCCCATAGTTCAACGACTCTGAGCTCCGTAAGAAGAAGACACAAGTAGCGATTCTTTTACTATATCAGCATGTTCGTGGGCATGTGTACAAGTCGTGTGGATATGTACATGTGTAACAAAAGAGCAAGAACAGTAATAGAAAACCACCCCCCCACCATCATTTTAGTCCACAGCTGGCAGGAATGGCACCAGCGCAACCACCGCTTTTACCTAACAATGGCAGCCATATGCTTTGTTTTGCGGATATCTCATCTACCCAACCTATAACTTTGGATATATTCAAATTACCTTAACGTTCACAGCTGTAACCACCGCGTGGGACCCTGATGCCCATTTTGCATGAGTCATATGCTTCCATATTCTCGCTTTCACCACTTGCTGCTTCCAGACCTTTTCACTCGAATGACTTGGTAAAAGGCAAGGACCCAAGGGAAGTTAGAGCACGGTTCAATGAGCCAACGGATGATTCGGTGGTTTCTAGGAACAGGATTTGATGAGGCCTAGGTAGTATAGATTCCTCATCACCAGGTTCCCCAGGCTGAAGACGCCGGCCGCCTCCTCCGGCGACGGGTCCTGGAAGGACCAAACCATGCGTTGCTCGTTCAACTTGAGGTGGTCCTTTCCGATCCATTCGATGACGGCATGAATCGCGCGGCGGTCCGGCGGCTGGCCGTTCGTGTCGGCGACGCAGAACTCGTTCTTGGCCTCCCCGGACTTGGTCGTGATCTCCGCCCTCGTCACTGAGAGGCCGTTCTCGCGGAACGTCCGGGTCACGTCCGCCAGCAAGCCCTTCCGGTCCGGCATGCTCAGCTCCAGCCTCATTCCCTGATCGAGGAGCGACAGTGAGCCAAACAGAGGCTGGAAAGAGGAATCGTACGGAATACTGGCGCTCGCTTTATAAGCAATGAATGAAAAGAATATTACAGAGAACTGAACCAGAGGAAGAAGGTTACCTCAGATGCCCTGCGCTCGACTGCAGCTTGCAAGCATTGGATCACTCGCTGCCGCTCTGCCTCCGAACTGATCGGACTTCCATCCATATGCCGTATGTAGAATTCCTGCAATCGATCGACAAAACTCAAAAACCAATTAATCCAACAATTTTCCCAACGATCAAATGGGGAAACGAGACTTGTTGATGAATATCTACCTGATAGGCGCGGTCGGCGTCAGTACCAAAGGTGCCATGGAAGACGACGTACTCCATGTCGGTAAGCGTGCACACGACGTCGAATAGGAGCTTCGGGCGGTCGCGGCACTGCACGCTGACCACGGAGTACCCGCGTTCGGTCCAATTCTGAACAGAGATCAACAACTTCGACGACGACGAAGAAGCCTCGTTAGAGGAGACACGCTCGTAATCACGGTCCGCGAACATGAGCTGGTGGAGGCGGCGGTCGGAGTGGGTCATGGTGGGGGAGGCCACGGTGGTCTTGGCCCCGCGGACGTCGTGATCGCCGCTAAGGACGTTTCGGAGGCGGCCCTCGATGCGATGGACGCGGTGCGCATCCGCGATGAGGGAGCCCGAGTCGTGGTCCTTGACGAAGATGAGGGAGGCGATGCGGCCGTTGTGGGTCCACACCTTGGCCTCTACCACGTCGCACTCCAGGTCCCGGAGCACGGCGAAGACCTCGGACAGGAGGCCCGGGCGGTCGGTGCCGGTGAGCTCCAGCGCCGTGAGACCCGCCAGGCCGCCGTCATCACCGTCGTCGTGGTTGTTGGAGCCGTCCTCAGCGGAGGAGGATGACCACGCTTCGCCGCCGAGGGATCGCTCGATGCGAGAAAGGAGGGTGGGGTCCAGGAGCTTGTGGCCGCGGCCGTCGACGACGTGGAAGACATCCATGAACCAGCGGCCGTCGGAGGAGATATAGCCCTTCTGGATGGTGAGGCCGAGGTCGGTGAGCACCTGCACGGCCTCCAGCAGCATGCCGTGCTTCCGGGCGCTGTTGACCCTCACCACCGTCGCCGTCGCGCACACCGCATTGTCGATCACCACCCTGCCAGCACGATCGATAACAAACCCCATTAGATTTCGAAAAACAGGGGATCTCGAAATGAAAATTGAAGACAAACATAGAGGGAGGACAATAACATCTTACGAACCAAGAAAAGACAGGGAGAGACAAAGAGGAATGAATAGATCTGGCGCAAAGACAACATAGAGAAGCAGGGAAACGAAAGATTGGCTCACCTGGGAGTGTTCATCATTCTGTTAACGAGCTTCTGGTACTCATCCGCCAATTCCATTTCTTCTTCTACAGAAACCCCTGTTTGTCTACTGTGTTTACAGAAACCTCGTAACGGATCAAAAAGAAATCGAGATCTCCATCTCCCTTTCTTTCTTTCTTCTCGCTCCGGCTACTTGTCCGCGCCTGTTTTGGTTGGGGGAAGAATGAAAAGGAGAGGAGGGAGAGGATAGAGAACAAAGCTGAGCCCAGAGAGGAGCGCAGGGGAGGACTCGGGTGTTTAAAAAGGTTGCAAACGCACGTCTCCTGCACAAGAAACGGACGGTCTGTGAATGGGGCCCACCGCGGGCGTCGCGCGCCAGCAACGCCCAGCCTGACCTACCCATTCCGACCCGGGTCCACACCTCCCATTCCCCTCCCACACTGTCATTCTTATCCCTTGTTGCTCTTCCCACGCTACCCTTACTCAGGCAACTAATCACGGCCTGCACCATAACCGGATAACATGGGAAGTAGCAGCAGTAGACATGAACGGACGGCCTCGTTTATGTTTTCTCGAGTTTAGGCTACACATGAATTCAAATTCAAACTATCTGCAAGCATCACTAAATTAAAATGGAGGATCGAACCGGGGGAAGATATTTTAGAAAAATAAAATTCTATTAACTTGGCTTAATGCAATATTCAAATTCTAATTGTTTTGACCACAAATGTAGACGTTGGCGGTGGATTTAAATTGTTCAGGTAACGGTCTCCACGTGAACCCGGACATCAATTTCACACTCGACGAAGCCATGTTTTGATAGAATTGTCGATGAGGCCGGAGGACAGCCACGTCCTTGTGCTGTCTCGTCGGCCGTTCTAATTAGCATGATTTCTACGGGGAAGCCTTAAGGGAGGGGTGTTTTAGGAAAATGACAACGTAATGTCGGAGCTCATCTATCGAGGTCACGGCTACCGTACAAGGAGGCGTCATGGAACACAGTGGGGAGTCCATCGACGTGTCGCGAGTGCATTGGACCTTAACGGGGAACCACGTCGGAGTGGCGTCATGGAACACGCGTAGAGTCATGTGGAACAATTAAGGCGAAGGGAGCACGTGTCGGCAACGGAGCTCTGTCGTGTGATATGTCGTCCGGGGCCACATGCACGCAATCAAGGGCTTCATTGAAGGGCATGGCGTTGGAGTCGGAGAGCAAGAATTTCAGTAACCCTGTTGGGCTCACCCTTTGATCTACCCACGTGGGACCAACATGGTGTTCGGTCGGGCAACCTCTTAATGTTGTGCTATTCAGTTTAGACGCACCGGAAAGTGGCAAATCGCGGATGCTTCGCATGGGGAAGGAAGTAACTCACGTGATGTCACATGGAGCGTCATAATCTCCACACGTTGAGGACAGGTCACCGTGACGGACGGTGGCCGCGCGGCGCCGTTCTTTTTGACGGGGCAAGAAACGCAGGTCTCGCGACGGATGCGAGCACCTTTCTTTATTTTGACTGCTATTCCTTATTCTACATAAATTTTCGCGCCCTTAATTTCCTCGTACGGTCGGATGGGACGCAGGCGCGTGGGGCCGCGAGGGGGGCGAGTCGGAAAGCAACAGCCTGTTGGAATGGGACGGAGCAGAAGGAACAGATAAAAAGAACGATAATGAACGGAAGAAAGACGGGAGCGGACTTTTGGCCGATTGGCTTTAGACGAAGCCAAGGGGCGGCGGCTGTGGTGGTGGGGAGAGGTTACTAGCTACAGAGGAATCGATAACGTTCTCATGTTATCTCGAGGAGGTGATCATCTGTTCCTATTTCTGAAGCAAAGAGGAGGAGGTCATTTATCCTTCTTCATACAGTGTTTCGAGGTGCAGATTGTGGCTTAATCTTGAAGTTTTGTTTTCTTAACGTAAAAGAAGATGCAGAATGCTAAAAAAAAGGCTTAAATTGATTTATGTGTTCAATTATTACGTCGCTGATCAACTTTCCAAGGTTGGAGGGGTCAGTATGTATCCATCGAGTGGCCCGCAAGATCACTGCACCTCTTGTGTCTGTGGCTGCTGTGCTTCCATGAGTTTGGTCTAACACATCACTGCCCTCGAATATAAATTTCCGATTTAATAATGTGAAAAGCTCCTCAAACAACTTTGACTTTGAATCCAAGGTCAACTTTCAGAAACTTGCGTCAACGCATGCCATCAGAATCCTTCACAGTGGTTTTGATGGGTTCTATCAGACACAAATCGATGGCCCGGTCATGACCAAACAATATATTTGGGACTGCAGTGTGTGAAAGGCAGACTTTTCTTCAGCTGCCTTTCCTTACCTACGTAACTTTCTCCTTTCATTAATAGACATTTCCATTTACATAAATAGATCTTCCGTCCAGAGGACTCTAGAGGAGAAGACTTGGGCAATGTTTCACATTCCATCATCACCATTGCTTCGAAAAGACCCTATTCATATAAAAAACTTAGGTTAATTATATATTTATTCATGTACCACTCTCTTATTTTGGTGATACTTATATTTTAAAATTTTATATTAAAAGATTTATAGTTATAAAAATAAAATATTATGAGATTAAATATTTTATATTGGGAGCTTATTTTTCCTAACATCAGTTGTGAAAGATAGTATGTGTGAAATTGATGTGAAAAAAAGTATTTAATATCCTTTTCATTTCCTTTAGTTTTGCTTAAATTAAAACCTTTTGATCAACTCTAATTTTGATCAAAATTTTTTAATTAAATAGTAAAACAAAAGACAAAAAGCATGGAGCACAAGATCATTTTGATGATAATAAAGTAGAGAGTTGGGCAGAGATATTATAGATAAATCTATACAAAGAGTATTCAATCTAATGTTAATATATGTTCATATTTTTTGATTTGTTTATGCTTTACAAAAACTTACAGTAGACTTGATAGTCCTATTTTAATTTATTTTTATAATCGTTTTAGTCTTATAAATATAGGTTATGTAGTTATCGCACAGAGATAAAATTATCTAAAAATAAATCATCCAAACAATCATTTTGTGAGTTTTCAAAAGTAATATAGAGTGTCAACCAGCATACCCTCCTTAGAGTTACCCGGGTGATATCTAGTTTAATGGGCTTTTGAAGTGGTGTCTAGGGTTGATTTATTATCTAGTTCTACAACAGTATCATGTGGACACTTATGGAGATTTTTTTTACTGTAGTATATGATCTTGGACCCTACAGGCTTTAGAGCCTACAAACTTTATGTTTGTAATTTGTATTGTCTACCAAGTATTTACTAAAATGCCTACTCGTGGGATCTCGAGTTAAATATTTTTTTTAACTTGTCTTCTCTTTTACAAACCCTTAAGGGACCATAAGAGGTTTTAGGGAGATTGACCCCTTCCGGACGGACATGCAAGGGTATCGTATGACATAAGAAAAATTAACTAAATCCGTGACAAATAGTATTAGAGTGGGACATGCACAACTAGAAATATTGAATATACAAATATGTGGGACCCAGTGGGATAACGTTGAAGGCAACCAATATGCATGACCGTTTGAGAGAAATGGACATAGAGATATAAGAAAAGGAGTTGCTTAGAGGAATGATCGTTTGAGATTGAGAGTTAGAAGAATGATTAACCCTTAACGTGAGAGGCACCATATGGATAAGTGAGCTAGGAAGACTGCATAGTGCACAAACATTAGGATGGCTAAGTTCAAGCAATGGCTCGACATTGACAACAAAACTTGATAGTGCTTAAGACAAATAGGGTTCTTGGCAAAGGATAAGACCATGTAAGGATATATAGGTTGTTTGGTGACTAAAAGAGTTATTCAAAGCTCACAGAAGTGAGGAAAATTGTTAACTCAAAGAATTTAGTACTCATATAAGGGCTTTTTATACGGATGATAGGCTATTTGTGGTCATCCCAAGGTAATCAAAACTCGGTGTCATGGAGTAGAAAAACTTTCTCTTTAGCATAAGAATAATACGTCCATAGGAGGTTGAACTGTATAGTAAATTTAGCATATTGCTAGGTTGTGAGGGGCACAACAAGAGGCTGTATTTGCTAAGAGTCGTAATTTAGCAAATGCATTCATGGTGGTGGAATAATACATAATTTGTTTAGCAAGGTAGAATAGTCTAAGAGGATGTGGTCTCCAAAACTTCCAGATAGAAAGATACGAAGAGAAAAATTACTCAAATACGACAAATACCTACGAGAGATAAGTCTCGATTCTTCATAAAGAGAATTATAAACAATAGAGTACATATATTAAGGGGTACCTCAAGATGATAACTCTATAAAACTCAACAAACGAGCAAGTGACGAGGAGTCATTGCATGATCTTATATAGGTAATGTGCTGGTGGATGCATTATGAGTTCATGAGGGAGCAACTATAGGTAAATCAAACGAATGTACAAGATGATATGAATATCAAACTTAATAGAGGGCTAACCCATAGAATGATGGTCATGAGAGCCACTATCAACTTAGTATACATCGAGGAATAAAGCAACTTAGGTAAAATTTAATGAAGTGTCAAAGCCATATGAAGGGAGTCGATATAGAAGACAGAACATAGATTGGAGGTGCAAAAATTTCCTTGAACAAAAGCCAAGGATATTAACTCTTACAAGGTAAGAGCGAGATTATATCGTTCCATGGGTCCCTTATTATAATGAAATAGACTCATCTTGCATGATGCTAAAATCAAAGAAAGCTTCAAGGCATATATACCTTATCCTAGTGAAGTAGTCGACAAAAGGACTAAAGCAGCTCAACTTGCAAAGGTTAAGTTGGGGTTAGAAGGCCTTGACAATAAGTAAGAGAATGTAGATGCATGTACTCTTAAAAAATATACTATAGTATTATTATTTGAGTTATCATAAAGAAAGTTATATGTAAAAGAGATTGTGCTGAGGGCAGAGGTCTAGGATCTAGATAATAGCACACCAATTTTAGTAAAGTTAGTGGACTTTGAAACTATACCTTTTCTACTGAGTTGGCAACACAATTGATGGAGAATATGATATAATCCCAAAAGCGACCAAAACTATCAAAGACTTGCTATAAGTTATGACAAAATTTTATCATTTTCAAGCAAAACTTCTTACATTCCAAAAGTTCGATGGCAATAAGAAAGCATATTGTCGTAGCTAACTCAATGCTATGAGTGCAAACATTTGAGTACTTTAAAAGTGTGAGCAAAGAGTAGATGAATGCTACTAACCAACTTGATCTATAAATATAACTCTTGAGGATGCAGATGAAATCAA